AAACTCTGTATTTTCTTCATTAGGGCTGGTGCAAAGTTCCTCTGCTTTTGTGGGTGCCTGCTCCCTTTCAGCCTGTGGGCCTGGAGGCGAGCCTGTCCCGGTGCCATCGCCGGCAGTGCCCGGGCGCTTCGCCTGGGACTGATACTGAGCGAGAAGTCGGGCATCCCGAGCCTTGTCAAGGCAATGTGAAATACAACATCCAAATCCTGAAGGGAGGTGATGAAAGGGGACAATGTGACTAAAGGCATAACGAGAGAAGAGCAGATGTGTTCCTCTTGCCAGCTCCATTAAAATGATCACAGCGTGCCCTTTGGGCTTTTGTGTCTGCAAGGAGAGGCTGCGGTAGAAGTTTTGCCCACAGGAGCTTTCCTGGCAGTAGATCAGCACTGTCTACCCAGAGTCACTGATGGCGATCTCAAATTTAAAGGACAAGGTCTTGCTGCCATCCACCCTGGCCCTGACTCTGCTTACTGGCAGCAGCAAGAGGACACCTAAGCGGGGATAGGAGACAAACTCCATTCGGCTGGGAAGTGGCAGCTCCTCCACCTTCAAGGTGGGACCTACTGTCAGGATGGCAGAGAGGGGTTGGCTTGGCGAGTTCACGGGTAGGAGTGGAGGGGTTGGGCCAGAAGTGACTCCAGGTTGATTTTGGCCTCCCCACAGTCTCTTGTCATGGAGACCCTTATCCCAGCTGCAATGGGCTCGAGTTATTTCTCATTTCCCTGTAGGAAGATACACCGTGCTGTTGGAACGCTGGTGCGTGCTGGAGGCACGTCTCAGCCCGTCCCTGCAGCGGGGACCGAGCAGGGATAACTGTTCTCACACCAGCTCTGTGCCTCTTTGAAACAGGGCTAGCAATGGGGTTAATTTTAGGGGCTGTTCCTCCCCACCTTGTTCCTTGATGCCACAGTGGCCTCAAACAGCCCTGGCACGGCTGTGGCTGCTCCGCGCTGCCCACGGCTGCCACCTTCTCATGGGCTCATGCCTCGTGGTCCTGGGGCGGGTGGCTCACAGGCTTCTGTGTCCCCAGGTGATGAAGACCTACCACATGTACCACGCAGAAAGCATCAGCGCTGAGAGCAAGCTGAAGGAGGCGGAGAAGCAGGAGGAAAAGCAGTTCAACAAGTCGGGGGACATCAGCGTGAACCTGCTGCGGCATGAGGACAGGCCCCAGCGCCGGAGCTCCGTCAAGAAGATTGAGAAGATGAAGGAGAAGGTGGGTGAGAGGGGAGGACGGGGGAGCCAGGCAGGGGCCGGGGCTCCCTGCGGGCGGGGGGTTCGGCTCTGGCCCTCTCCGTTTCTGCGCAGCCGTTCCTGCATCCCCGGGAAGGGGCTGGGGAGGATGTCGACTCGTGCTGAAGGGTGGGCTGAGGAGGCCGTGATGAGTCCCTTCACTGCCTCCTGGCCATGGAGAAGTGCCAAAACCAGCCGGTAGCGAGGATTTGACCCAAAGTTGGGCTGGCACTGCTCAGCAAGAAACGGGGACATTGGGCAGTGCAGCCTTGGAGGGGGTGGCAGACCTGCGCGGGGGCCACGTGGCCACCAGTCGCATCTCCCAGGCTGGCTCTGGAGGGACGGCTGAGAAGGGCGGCGGGGGGGACCCGGGGGTGACGGCTCCCAGAGCCCACGGCAGGGACGGGCTGCCATTTGTTCACGTCTTCTTTTAAAAACCAGCACTTTTAACCACGAGCAGTGGCTGTGCCAGGGTTCCTCCAGGCAGAGGCTCGGGGGAGCAGCACCAGGGCTGGGGATATAAAATAACTCCGCAGACTGTCTGGGAGTTAAAGCGCGGCATTTTGTTGGCTTTGCTAGCCAAAGCACTTAACTCCATTCCAGCTTCAGCAAATCCCCCAGATCTCAGGATCTCCCAAACTGTTAAAATTTCCTGTTGATTTCTGAGAACAAGCAATAGCTTCCCTCGCCAGGAACTTTTGCATGCGTGTCGACCCAGCCCGGGACGCTGTCTGGTGGCAAGGCTCTTTGTGAAGGGTTAAGCTTCTGTGCTAAACCTTTAGGCTAGCGATCTGCCTGAGCACATGCCCCAGATCTGAGCACATCTGCTTTCCTGCAGAGCTTTGAAATCTGGGTCCTGTTCTAAATTTTGTAGCTTGGGCCTCTGGGCCAGATTCCACTTTGATACAGCTGCATAAGTCTGGAGAAAGTCCAAATGTATGTCAGCGTATCTGGGAGGAAAATTTGGCCCTCTCATTTTGATCGATGCCAACGCACAGATAAAGGGAGAGCAGCTGCGCTCGGGATGCGCTAGGTGCCTCCGAGCAGAGCGCGCTCGTTGTGTGGTGGCTGACGGTACCAGCGATGTTCAGATGTGACCTCCTCCATCCTGGCAAGGGTGTCTGCTTTCATACCCAGTACCAAATTTTATTAATTAGCCCGTCACACCCAGGCTGTGGGGCGCTGTGGGGCCCTGCAGCAGGAGAAGCTGCGGAAGCGGTATCCTATTTGTGCCCTGACGCTCCGGTTTGCTTTTCCCGAGACAAGCCC